TTATAGCCTATAACAACCCGCTCTAGCACTATATAGTACAGTACAGCCTAGAATATTATTTAGATACTACTTCTGCTTCTTGCTTACATGTTTATATGTTATGCCTAGTCTAATTACACTATCTATAGCGCCTTTAGAATAGCTTACCTACTTTAGCTTACACCTACTTTTTTGCCTTCTTTCTATTACTACACGCTTTAAACTTCTTTAGAGCTATTAAGCGTAGGCTTTTTTAAATTATTAAGGTCTTTTTTACTTTAATTTACTTTTTTTTATATAATTTATATTACATAGCAGCCTTATTAGCTGCTTAAAGCTTAGTAATTTCCTATTACACTAACACTAGCTTATGTGTAATTATTACTGCCCTCTTTAAAACTTTTTTAAATGCTTTAACTATAAAAGTTAGTAAACTATTTATATACTTTTAAATTTTTATTTTTATAAGCATTAATTATAAGTTAAGTTTTAAAGTATTACTTAGGGTTTATAACTACTAAGGCTTATTATATATAAGTAGTAGTAGTAATAGAGTGCACAACTTTACATTAAGGCCTATTATAACTTATTATAAGTTAAAAGGAACTAATCTAGCGCCTTAGAACTCTTTTTAAATATTACTAAAAGTAATTATAGCATTATAAGCTGCTTTAAAGCCTAGTAAGAACTTTATTTTTATAATATAAGTAATCTAGTTATGTATAAGGTTTTTAGCTTAGCGCTTATACACCTTTTTTAAAGAAGTAAAATAACTTATATTAAGTAGCTATAAAAAGTGTAATAAGTAAAAAAGTATATAAATAGTAATAATTTTATTATTTTTATAGTATTACTAAAAATAAAGTAAGTTATAGCTTTTATAGCTATTAATAACTAGTAAATAGTAGCTGCTAATAGTACACTTCTTTATATGCGCGTTAAAGTGCTTTAACTAGTCTAGACTAAGCTAATTAGTAGTCTAACTGCGCTTAAAGATTATAATAACTTAATTCTAAAGTAGATTTTTTTTATACTAGTTTAAAAAGTAGTTGCTACCTTAGAAAATAATAAAAAGTAAAATAGCTTACTTTTTAGTATTAATGCTCTAAATAGCTGTTGTCTACTTCTAGTTACCTAGCTAGACTGCTTTTAGCTGTCCTTATCTCTTTAAACTTATAATAACCACTCTAGTAAATATCTAGCCTATTATAAACTCTATTTTATTAAAGTTGTACATGTTATTATCCTAAATGCTATACTTAGCTTTAATATTCTTTATAAGGTTAAACTAGCTTTAAATTACTATAAGATTTTTATAAAAAGCTTTTTTATAGTTATACTTACACTTAAACTTTACTTTAAGCTTTAAGTAATGCTTAATAAACATATTAAGCTAGTTTATACTAACATAGCCTATATTATGCTTAGTGTGTAAAGAATTAGCTATATTAGCTATAGCTACTAGCTAGGGGGGAAATCCTTACACATCTAGCTTAAGTATGTGCTAAATAATTACCTACTTTTTATTATTATCTAGCTTTTATAAGTTAGCTATATAATTAGCTTAAAAAGGTTGTCTAGTATGTTAGTTACTTATTATCTTTTAAAAAACTTTATAGATAGCTGCAGTATGTTACTTAAAAAGTGTTACATTTTATTTAAAAGTCTAAAGTGTAAGCTGCATTTAATGTTTCTTTAACACATCTAAGTAGTGTTATTAGGAATGCATTAGTGTAAAAAAGGTAGTGTAGTAGGGTCTTAGCAAAAGTAAGCAACTTAGGTGTGTAAGCAACTCGCCTATGAAGTACGTTAGCATAAATTAGCTTTATATATTTATAAAGTAAAGTTTAAGTATAACTATAACTATAAAAAAGCTTTTTATAAGAATCTTAAAGTAATTTAACACTACTTTAGCTTTATAAAAAAATATTAAAGCTAAGTATAGCATTTAGAATAATAACACATATAACTTTAATAAAATAAACTTTATAAAAGCTAAATATTTACTAACGTACTGTACAAGCAAGTTGCTTACACACCTAAGTTTCTTACTTTTACTAAGACCCTACTAAACTACTCTTTTTACACTAATGCATTTCTAATAACACTACTTAGACATGCTAAAAGAATATTAGATATAGTTTATACTTTAGGTTTTTAAATAAAACATAACACTTTTAAAGCAACATGCTATAGCTATATATAGAGTCTTTTAAAAAATAATAAATAATAAACATGCTAGATAACCTTAATAAGCTAATTTTATAGCTAACTTATAAAAGCTAGGTAATAATAAAAAGTAAGTAATTATTAAGCACATACTTAAGCTATATATGTAAGAATTTTCCCTTTAGCTAGTAGCTATAGCTAATGTAGCTAATTATTTACGCGCTAAGCATAATCTAGGCTATATTTACATAAACTAGTTTAGTATGTTTATAAAGTGTTATCTAAAGCTTAAAGTAAAATTTTAGGTATAAGTATAGTTAGTAAATATCTAGCTTATTATAAAGCCTATTTTATTAAAGTTCTATGTGTTATTATTCTAGATGCTATACCTAGCTTTAAATTACTTTAGAATTTTCATAAAAAGCTTTTTTATAGTTATAGTTATACTTAAACTTTATTTTAAGCTTTAAATAACACCTAATACACATACTAGGCTAGTTTATACTAATATTGCCTAGATTATACTTAGCGTGTAAAAAATTAGCTATATTAGCTATAGCTACTAGCTAAGAGAAAATTTTTTATATACTTAACTTTAGTATATACTTAATAATTACATACTTTTTATTATTGTCTAGCTTTTATAAGTTAGCTATAAAATTAACTTTTAAAAGTTATCTAGTATATTATTTAGTTATTTATTATTTTTAAAAGACTTTATACATATTAAAAGAATGTAAATTTTTGCTAATACTTTATAGAACATATTTTTATAACAAATCTATTATTTGTATTTTTTTAGGAAATTGCTGTAATTATGAGTGTTTCCTAATGTTTTTAGCTAGGTTTTTGTTTATATTGAGAACCTAACTATTCAATAGCTGCTATGGTGACATCGATTACAGATTAACAGGACAGACTCATAGCAGACCACACCGAGCGAATCTAATAGGAAGCCGCATTAAATGAGAACAGTAAGGGGGGGCTGTACAGTGATGTATAATAGGGTGCGAGCAAAGGCGGCAGGTTGGTGGAAGGCGAGTGAATGCGGTTGCGAGGCTCTCTGCGTGTAAACAAGACGATTCTCTAGCTAGGCAGTCATGGCGGAGGAAGCATCGACAATATATCTACGGTATAGATATGGTAGACTTTTGGCTCGTTCAGTCGTTGTGGCTTTTAGAATCCAGGAAGCAATGAAAGCATGGGGCGGCGCGGAAGCTAGGCAATAAGATCTGACTGGGTTTCAGGGTTTGGGGTTGGCACTTTGGGTGCGAGTGACTCCAAAAACAGGCTAGAAGTCCCTAAACATAGAAGTACTATTGTAATCTCAGGTCAGTCAGTCAGGGCACCCTCAGCGGGGATCATTCTCTCGCCCGCAGCCGCCGGCGCGACATCTTTCGCACAACGATCGTCAGGTTCAACACCCCTTTTATGATCATCTCGGATATCTTGTACGCTGCTAGAGCGCTGTAGGGCCTTCCTCATGCCTCAGGGCGACACTGTTTTCAATGTTGAATCGCTTATCAACAGAGTAGCGTTCACGAGCTCTAGATGCCTTGAATCAACAGGAATCTATTGTTCGGCAAACGGGCTGCCGTCTAAATTTTTGTCGGATTGCGCGTTTCCATCAACCGGAATTCTGACCAAAGAACGAGCTTGATCCCTAGGAGGGTCAACACAACGAATCAGTTCTTTAGTCGCTCACATCAACATCAATAGACCTCCCACTTCATGCCCATTTAATTCGCCCCAGGCTAACATCGCAAATCGGCTCATTCAGCTTTTGGAAACATGTTTGAGGGCTTTCAAGATTTCATAGAAGGAATATACGGATGGGAATAGTAAACCAGACGAATTGTTTTGGTTGCCATACTTCAACACCGAGAGTAAAGGAGAGATATGAGACGTCGCTGGCTGTTCATGAAAGAATTCATGTTATGTGAGCTGCGGAAGAGGATCCACTAATGTAACCAACGGCGTTAATCGCAGGCCTATGGTAGTTCGGAACGAAGTTGAAAAGGAAACTGACGAGTCCTCGACCCCCGAATGCGGCTCTCATTGGTTAGTCTCAATCTATTCCCTCACGTCAAGTCATCGTATGCGTACTTCTTCCTCTTGCATGCACGAGTACGTCGATAGTTTCTTCTAACAAATCGAAAAGTGACTCGATGATAGTAATCATTAGGCTTGCATACCGCTACGAACGTACAGCGCTTTGAAAGCACCCGATCCAATCACCCGACAGCATATTTTTAGCATTAAAGCAATCTTATTGAATCTTCGGTGGCGTAACCCAGAAAATGCAACGGGCTGACCTCGAACGGGAAGCTCTCCTCATATTCAAGTTTGCATGATCCTGGCCGCGTAAGCTGTGGAGACCTTGCACAAAACGAAACACAGCCACTAAGCAGGGCAGTAGTCAATTTCACACGACTGGAAAATTCCGTTCTAGGTTGTGAAACAACTGTCGAGTAAAAGGGTACGTAGCTAATTGCCCTTGAAACACTCGCAGAGCCTCCGAGGAGGCTTTATGCGTTGTCTTTGGAGAGTAGCAATTTTCTGGCCAAATGCAGCCGCGCGTTCCTGGAATTTTGGGTCGTGATGGGGAGAGAGTCGACTTCACCGCGTTGCATTCAGAGGTGTCGTCCATGAATTTCGGTAAGCGCTCCCAGGCTAGCTTTGTATAAAGCGCTTGAGGATAGACGCACAAAGGTTCTTCACATCGCACCAACATCTTCATATTCAATCTTCGCTTGTTCTCTTCACAGCTTCATTTCGCTTTCTGCTTCTACCATTTCACTGTACTTCCAATCCATTCCTTGAAATATTTTTTTCAAAATGGTTCACCTCCCTTACTTTACCTACGCCCTGGTGGCATCCTCACTTCTTGGTGTCATTTCTGCCCAGAATAGGCCTAGGGGAAATGGTGCACCCCCTGCCAACGTCCCGTTGAGCGCTCCTCCTCCAAAGAACACTCCAGTGCCATCACCACAGCCCAGCCCTCCTCAGGGTGCAATTAAACGAGCCATAGCGGCAAAACAAAGCGGAGTTATATCTGCGCTCCAGAGCATCATCCCACCGACCGGGCCTCCACCTTCTGGCCTTCCTTCCGGTCCAGCCCCCAGTGGCCCTCCGCCGTCTGGTTTTCCATCCGGGCGTACCCCTAACGGCCCTCCACCATCAGGCTTTCGTTCTGGCCCAGCTCCCAGCGGCCCTCCGCCTTCTGGAGCGCCTTCGGGTCCTGCGCCCAGCGGTCCTCGACCAACTGGTGCTATGAGACGGCAAGTATCTTCAGCATCATCTCTCCCACCCCCGAGCGGTCCTGCTCCAAGTGGCCCAAGGCCAACGGGCCTTCCTCCGTCCGGCTTCCCCTCAATTCCTGCGCCTAGTGGGCCTCCTCCATCGGGAACGCCTGCTGGCCCAATTCCCACCGGACATCCGCCTTCCGGCCCCCCCTCTAGGCCCGCTCCTAGCGGTCCTCGTCCGACCGGCCTTGAGAGACGCCAAGAACCCTCCGCTTCATCGCTTCCACCCCCAAGTGGTCCTGCTCCCAGCGGCCCAAAGCCCACCGGGCCTCCCCCAAGCGGGATGCGGCTCCCGTCTGGTGCTCATCCAAGCGGCCCTCATCCAAGCGGATCTCCTCCAAGCGGAGCTCCCAGCGGACCCTCTCCATCTGGTCCCAGGCCAACTGGACCGATTCCCAGTGGTGCTGCAGGAGCTAAAGCCGTCTCTGATGCTCCAGCACCAAGTGTCCTAGAACCCACTGGAAAACCGCCTGCCCATCCATCTGGTACGCCTCCGTCTGGTGTGCTACCTTCTGGCCCTGCCCCCACTGGGCCCAAGCCGACCGGGCCTGCGCCAACAGGATCTATTCCGACTGTGAAAGGTTCCCGTACCCCGAGTGGGTTCGTGACAAAGAAAGTTCCCTGAGCGTAAGAAAGAACTTCTTAGGGGTTTAGTGTCACTGATAAATATATGTTACCCCTTCACCTTCACCTTCAGGAAACAAGCTCGGGAGAGTCACTTTATGTATTCTGGGCGATTGTTAAGCGCAGACCCGCGTTGGTTTTATGATCTGCGTAAACATCCACTCGTTTATCTTACTTAAAAAAGCTGCGGTCAGTGAGGCAGTTTAGGCGCTTTATATTCTTGTAGCCACTCGTTTGCACGATTTTAAGAACTGTATATATATCTTAGCTGGAGAAAAAATGAATATTACATTTGGCGAAGAAGCAAATGTCTCAATGATTCACGGCGATATGCGATTCATGCCAGGGATTTCAATCGTCGTCATTTATCTCCATTCATAAACCATCCCCAACGTTTCTTCACAGCGTCCACACACATTCGTATCCTATGCCTGTAGCTCACCCATACTACGGAGAAAAGGTCTTCTTGTCAATAATTTTCTGCAGGGCCCATGTATCTTCAATCCGTGACGACATCGTCCTTTTCAGTTGTGGCCTACACCGCCATTTAGAGACCTTTTTATATCTGGAACAAGGAAAAACGTACTCTCCCTAGTAATCAAGACTATCTGTTCAGAAACTCAAAGAAGTCAGTGATTGTATACGTCGCATATTCGCCATACCATCAAATCTCCATACTCGTCGTCTAGCTTTAGCTTTCTAGGGAGAGTGTCTCTACCTGTATTAATAAAGATCAATGAGTTCTAGTCCGTCCTAGAAGTTTCATATTGTGAAAGTTACTCAGTCAATGCCAAAGAAAATACAGAATCTATTGCACTTAAAAGGCTAAGCTAGGGGAAAACAATCTTAAATTAAAATAATAAGAGAGTTGTAGATAGTATAAGTGTCTTTAGAAACTACTTACTACTACTTAGTCTGTAAAAGACTAAACTTTAATTACAGCCTTCTAATAATAGCTAAGATTAAGACTATATACTTCTATTTTACACGCAGTTTTAGCATTGCACTTGTTGCAGTTGCTGCTATTACTGCATGCAACATTTGCCTAAGGACTAATTAGACTTATCCCACTTAGGTCCTTGTTCTAGACAGACCTAGGTAATTAAGTTATGTAACATCTGTGGTGCAAGCAACAGAGCCTTCTACAATTAGTTATTATACTGTTGCATAATTTTACAGCACTTGACTGTAGTCTAATTGTAGACTGTAACAGTAATACAGCTTTTAAAAAGCTAAAGTTTATGCTACTAAGCTTACTTACACTTTACTATTTTAACCTTATGTTGTAAACTAAAATTAAAACTAATGCGTTAGATAAAGTAGTAGCAGGAGTTCTATCTTAGAAATATGCTAATAAAAATAGTGCTTGGTTTTATTTTATAGTAGAGTCCTATCTAGTTTAAAGCTAAATTAGAAAATACATAATAAAAATCTATTTAACTATAATTATTACTACATTTAAATAATAAAAAGCTAAGCTTACATCTATAGTAATAAGCACTTTAGTATATACTAATTATTAGTTATTAGAGTACTTTATAATAATAAAAGTTCTTAATGCTTATTAAGTCTATTAAGCTAAAAAGTTAGCGTAGTATTACTTCTAAATTAAGTGCACTTTTAGTAAAAATAACACTAGAGCAGACATCTTTAGCTGCTGTACTGTGGTATCAGGCATAAGTAGTGCACATAGACCGCGCACTACAGGGGTACTCGCCACATGCTTTTAGATAACATAAGCCCGGTTCTGTTCTTAATTAGATACAAATTTTAGTACTTTGTGTGACCGCTCTAAGCATTAATCACTGCCTAGCATCTTGCTAGCATACTATTAATAAGCTCCCTAAGGAGGTTAAGAGAGATTAAATCCTATGCCTCTTGTACAATTTTATGTAGTTAATTATACATACGCTGCTTTTCTCTTTTAAGGTTAAAGTAATTAGTCTTTATATAGTCCTTTATTTTGTTTTACACTGCCTTAATTAGATTTATATCTAGCAAATATGCTAGCTAGAGCATAGGATAAATGTTCCTCTTGTAAAGCTTCTTAATAGTGTAGGCTGCTAAGTGACTAGGTGCTTGTAACGGCACAGGCAAGACAATGGGTCCAAATGCGGTGGGAATCCACTCAGAGGCATATGGGAGTGCGTGGGGACTCTGGACCTGGGAATGCCATTGACACCTATAGGCCTTGTACGAAAGGATATCAGAAAACTACCGAGCTAGCTACGGGGGCGAGGTGCGACTAAATACATGAAGGAATAGGGGTACAGCAGGGGGCAGGGCAGAGTCGGGGCCAGGTCGAGTCAGGGTCGGAGCCGATACGAGATCCCTTCGGATAGGTTCCGGGCGACCTGAGATGGACACGATTCATGAGAATCAAGTCAGGGTCAGAGCCGATACAGGGACTCTCCGGATAGGTTCCGGGCGACC